TAATGTTTGGCCATAAAATTGACTTTTTTCGTTTTTTTTTCGTGATAAGTATTTAACGAATTAAATTTAAGAGTAACCAATACAATATTATTATAACAGTAGTATAACAGTGGCGAATTTTAAATTGAATCCGTTGTATAATGATTATTTTCGGTTTTTTGCAAGTTTATCGTATACGAAAAGCTCATAAATGAAATTTAAAGACCACAAAAAATAATTATTAATTTTTTTCATATACGCACGTATAACAACTACATATGTATAACAGTTATTTTATTGCTTTGATTCTGTTCAACAATTCGAGTGCATATAAGTAAAAAATTTGTAAATATTTACGTTATCATAGGAACTGTAATTTAAAATAATTAAAAATTAATATTAATTTGAAAAAATTTTGAAAATTTTTAATATTTTTCTGATTTTTTCAATAATGAACTGCGACGTTAATGCTGAGCATAGTTTTAATATTAATTTTGCACGTTACGCTATTAATTAAATACGTTAATTTACAACGACTTTAAAATTCTTAAAATTGAAGGTGATTTTTCGTAAGTTGCTAATATTTATTAGTATTTAATTTCCGTAATGAACTTGAATAATTGAAATTAATTATGATTTGTGTGGAGTATTTGTACATACATATTCATAGATGCAGTAGAAAATGTAGCAGATAATTATTGAACATTGATTAAACTGGTGTGTAGCTAATTATGATTTGAAAACTGTACGTTATAAATATTAATAATGTAAATTAGAATACAAGTTGTTTATCATTTACATTTATAACAATTGTAGCAGTTTTGAAACGTAATTATTCTCTCGTAAAATTTTACAATATTTAAACTTGCTTTGTATAAATCTATAATCCAGCAAATTGAAGGCTATTCAATTTAATTACAAGGCCTCTCAAAAAATGTAATCATATTTTTTAGAAAAATAAACCAATCAGTGTCTAATTTTGACCAACTTAACAAAAGTTAGAGGCGTCAAGTAAAATTTTCAAAGAATGCAATTGTTTATGTAGTCTAAATTGAGTTTAAATCTTAATGAAGCATTTAATATGCTATTTAATGTCTAGGTTAATGTCTTTTAGTCGCACTGCATATTGCTTGCATCCTCTCTAATGCAATTCTTATTAAAAAGATTAATTATTTTCGAAAATAAAATTCATATATTACTAATTATTAAATTATGACATAAAAAGACAATTTACTATAAATATATTATATAGTTGCCCTTTTATGTCTAACCCCTTTTTGGTTTCAATATTTAAAATCATAATTTAGTCTTATTTTTTAAGAAATAAAGGAAAGAATACCGCGTCCCCACATGCATCGAAGTCACTGCTAGAATAAATTTAAGAGAATATTTTTCCAAGAAATGAAAATAAAGTATATAAGAAAGGGGAAAATTTCGAAAAAAAAATTATTGGGTTTTAAAAGAAAAAAAAAATTTTTAAATGATAAATGATTAAAAATTTTCCAATTTTTAAATGAAAAATTATCTGGAAAACAAAAAAAAAATAGAAAATTATTAAATAGAAAACAGAATTCTCAAATGAAGAAAACTTCTGGTTGTGTCAACATGACTTTAACCTCATTTGTCATTTTGTATATTTTAAAATTTACAAAAACAAAAAAAAAAACAAAAAACAACAGGATAAAAAATTGGAAAATTCATAGAACAATCAACACCGCCTTCAAAGATATTATAAGATGAGAGAATAAAAAAAAAGCAAATAAATATTTCTGATTTCCCATCTCTGTTCGTTTATAATACAGGGGTGGCAATTCTAACTTTTGTTTTGATATTATTATACAAATGCCACTTTTGTTTTAGAATTTATGCTAAGAAAGTAATATATATAATTCGTTTTTCCGGCCATTAAGGGCACAAAGTACAATTCCAACGCCTCACTAAATGCGATGACAGCGCCATTTATAGTAAAATTTAGTTTTGGCTTAAATAAATAAATATTTTAGTAAACCAATATTATTTTATAGAATGCTGACGTCACTTCTTGACTATAACACGTTATCCAATAGCAAAAGATTTCTCTCACAAACATATTACTTGCAGCAAGGCTTTGAATTAAAATCGTTCAAGCTATTAGGAACAGGGATATTTCAATGATCTATTTTAGAGTTCCGATCAATTTTAAATATCTAAAATATTGACTCCTATAAAAATAGATTACCAAATTAATTTCTATTGTGCAACAAATAGTTAGTAAATAGTAAAGTGAATGTAATTTAAAAGGGCTCAAAATTGAGCTCAATATTGAGCAAAATATTGATTATTCTTTTCTTATCAACCACAAAAGAATTCCCTGTCAACAACAGTACCGTTATTACCGTACTCCTGTCAACAAATCTGTCGGAATCACAAAAATCACAATTATTTGGCAGATGTGGTTTCCTTTGTCAAAAATCTACTACATACCACTATTATCAGTTATAATCAGCTTCCATTATTTTATTCTTATTATTTATTTTAATAAAATACAGACAAAATTGTAATAGGAAAGGAGTGCTTTGTACAAAATTTTAATAACAAAAAAAAAAATTAAAACACAAAAAAAAAATATAAATATTCTCAAAGTAACTGTATAATATAGACAAGCAAATGTCAAATGCCTGTGAACACATTAATAAATATGAAAATTTGTTTTGACGTGAAAGGAAGACATTTGACGTTTTCTTTCTTTTTCTTCATTTTTGTTTTGATTTTTGTTGTTTGCTGTTTGTTTTCTCTTCTCAATTTTCATTTTAGATGATTATTTTATTGTTTTTATTTTGTAAATTTCTGTTTTCCTAAGTCTTATAAAAATGTAAAACAAAAGTGGGAGTTTTTGAACTAACAAGCGGAATATACAACAAAAACATAACAAATACAATATGCAAACGCAAATTTTTTTTTTAGTTTTGTTGAAAATATTTTATGTGACAACAACAATAAAACAAGTAGACAAATCGATTTTCTTAAGATTTACAAAAAAAAAAAAAATTTTTTTTTATTAAAATTTATAGAAAATTTTTCGAAATTATTTTATTGACAGGACAAATGCTGCAAAATATTTCTACATTGTATTACTTCTGTTGTTAACATTTCGTATACGTATGTATGTGAACATGTATACAGTCTGAACAATTTTTAATGTTCCACTGTCTAGTTATTGATATTATATAGAAATTAGGATTTAATATATACGCGATCACCCAATAAAGATTATTGAACTGTCGCATATCGTTTTCTCAATTTAATAATTTTCTTTAACAATTGACAACTCCGATATATTCTTTGGTTAACAGCAGCTACTCGTATTCCTCTAGTTACTATTATTAATCGGAGTGTCACAAAATGAACGAACTTTTTGGTAATATAATGAATCATTGTGGAATATTGTTAAATTCCATTATTGCATACTTTTCGGGGCAATATAAAATTCTTAAAAATAATGAAAATTTTTTTATGATTTCTCATCTTTTTTGAAAATTCCTGTGTTTTATAATTCTTTTATTAAAAAATATTGAATTTTTTGAATTTTGAACTCAGTCAATTCATTATACTGCTGACACCCTGTTCAGGAGTAAAATTTATCAATAACTGAAATGGAAAATTTATCAAATATTCTTTATTAATAAAAATGAAAATTATGAAAATTAATTTTGTCACCATTTTTTTTCTTCTGTTGTTTTTTCCAATATTTTAATTTATCCTCGAATAATAATTAAGAAATTTGGGTCACTAGACTCTAGAAATCTTTTTCATGTCAAATATTTTTTTTTTTGCTTTTAGTGTCATAATAAAATTGAGTTATTATAGGTGATTTATATTAGCAGTTGTTTTCAAAATTTTTCTTGTTTTTTCTTTGAAATGCATCAATTTTACACAATATTTTAATATAGACTTTAAATTTTTAAAATGAAAAGGTATGTTAACCTTAAAAAAAAAAACAGACTAAATTAATTGTCTAGCTTCTTGCGATTGTGGGAGTTTAAAATATGAAATCAATATTATTTTGTTGATTATAATATTAAAATGAATTGGACAAGTGCTTCTGACAAGTATCAATTAATTAATAATAATTTTAAGAGGTCAAGTAAGTTCAAAAATTTAGAAATTGTCAAATCGTCTTGTAGTGTTCACATTTATCTTTTAATGTTCTCTAGGTAAAGAATGGCCTCTTGTTATTCATAAGAAAATTTTGGAGTTCTTACTTCTTTTAAATTTTGTTTTCCTTAAACAATCACCATTTTCTACTGTTATATTGTTTTCAGTGTTAATTCTAGATCACAAACCATAAATGGAATCAATAATTTCAAGCAACTAATACGCCATCATAATTTTTGAACATTGAATACACATTCTTTAATGAATTTTACTAAATTACAAAATTATATTTGTGATTAAATTAAGTGTAACATTCTATGTGTATGATTGCTTTAGATAGACGATGAAATGCAATTAAAATATTATTTGAAATAGCTGTCAAGTGCCTAAAATAGGAGGTTTGGAACATTTTGTAATTATTAATATGTAATATACAGGCTCTGCCATACAACAGTTTAAGAGGGACTTAAGTATATATTAAATACAATATAGAGGGTGACCAGTCCCATTCACTTACAGAAAGAATATAGGCAATAGTTGAATTTCAAACAATAGAATGGTTGTGTAAATTAAATTGAACTACATAAAATATGAGTAAATCATTTAAATGCTAATTTTCTTTAATATTTATTTTATTGAAACGAATTTTTCTATCAAAATGTACTACAACACTACGGCGCTCCCAATTGAAATATGCAAACCCAGCATTCATAACCATGGCTGAATAAAACCAATTTTCGGCTCCTTCCATTGACTCCTCCAAAGTTTTGTTTCCGACACTGTTCCCTTGTGATAATCGCAAATATTTTTAAATACTTTAGAAAATTTTTTGAAATAATTAATTATATTATACTTACATTTTTCTTTTTCTATTCTTTTATTTCCAGGCTGGTTTAGATCTTAAAGAAAATTTAGTTGCTGGTGCGGCACCATGGCCATATCCATCAGTATATCATCCTTATGATACAGCATTTGCTGCATATCCTTTTAATAGGTAAGTGTAATATAAATTTTATTAATTTCATGAAATATCAAATTTTACCCCTATAAGTATGCAATTTTTTTCAATATTTCAAATGTTACATAATAATATGAAAATTAAAATTGGTACATTTTATTTCTTGTTATAAGAACACATAATATTTGTGCACATTTAATAATATTTTAAGGATAATTTTCTCTTTATATTGGAATAGAAGTGAAGGACAAAAATTATTCAAGAGAACAGCAAAAAAAAAAAATACATAACCTTTAATGATCATTAACTTATTATTAAGGCATTTTATAATACCAATTATTATTACCAATATATTGCCATCACATTTACTAAATGGCCAATTAGTGGTTTTAATATAATGTTAAATTTTGTATTAAAAAACCACAAAATTGAATATTCAAGGGTTCTAGGAACATTGTACAGGGAAAAAAAATTTTTTTTTTAATTTTTTTTTTTGAAAACAACACCAAGTTGTTAATATAATTATGCATATAGCTGTAATAACAAAAAAATATATTTAATTCGGTTAAAATATTAACAGAGTTTGGGTGTGTGCATAATGATAAAATATGAGAATTTTACATAAAATATCGGTATAGAACACTATATAGAGTTAATGAATGCTTTCTGTTGTAATATTGAACTACATACTGCTTATACAGTTCAACACATATACATATCTATGTATGTATATATACAACATTGTTTGTAAATTAATTGTGGAACCTGATGTTTTTAATTGTTTTATAGTGGTAACGTTAAAATTATGTATTTTAAGTATATAAAACAATGTAAATGGTCAAAAATTATTTTTTATTAATATTTTATAATTAAAATAGCCCTCATAGACTGTATAAGTATATAGATAGGAAAAAAACCAAAAATTTATTTAAGTAAAGTAAACTTACATTCAAAACAAGTAGATAAAGTAGATGCTTTATGTAATTTATAATAATTTATTAAAATTTTTGATTTATTAAAATAAAATTTTAGAAATTTTTATATATAATAAGTCTATATGAATAGTGATATAAATATGTATGTGTACAAATCAAATGTGCGACAATAAATACCCAATTGCTTTAATTCAAAACATTTAATTTTTGGTTTTGTTTGAAAATATTCAAGCATTGCATTCATAATTTTTAAATAGAGAAGAGATGAAGCAATTTTTTTATTCTGTTTATTTATCTCATGGTTTCATACACTTTTTTTAACACATGAAATATCAGTTCAAGTGTTGAATACAATAAAATTAGAAATATTAGGCAATTTCAATCGAATATCAAGTATTAGTCTCAATATTTATAATTTTGACGGTAAGAGGGCTCTATTAATTATGCTACCTTAAAATGCTTGTTTTTTCACATAACCACATTTAAATCACTCCCTATAATATTAAATATTTTGATATTATCCATATAGAACTGCAACTTACTACATATTTTGTAATTAAAATTTTTGAAATGGTGGCAAATATTTTCAGTATTTTGTAAATTTGAAAATTCAAATATTTTGAGTTAGTACAATCTTGAATAAAGTGGGCAGTATTAGTATAAAATTATGCTACTATATGGGAATTTTTTATATTATTATTAAGGAAGCTTCAACATTTACTGAAAATAGTATTAAATTTATGTTCAAGATGGACGCGTATAAGGATTAAAAGATATTTTTTTTTTTTTAATTTTCCAGGAAAAGCGTGTAATTTTATGGTTACTGCTTTTTATATGATTATAAAGAGGGCATGGAATGACGCTTCTAGGTCATGTTCCACTATTTAATTGCGTGTGTAAAAATTGGATTGAAAACTCCAGTTACATTGGATTGAAAACTCAATTACATTTTGTACTATTTATTTAATTGCGAAACCTGCAATAATTAAATATAGTTTAAATATTAATTAAGAAATCAGATTTTAAACTTTCTTTAGAAAATTTCGAATTAACTTTAAATTATATTACAATTGTAATTCTGCACTATGGTATATAAGAGCAAATATTTAAATTGTTTGATTACTCCGCAAAGATAAAGGTCTTTCGCATACAATTTATTTTATTAATTTTTAAAGTATAAATACAATTATAATAATTTAATAATATTATTTAAACTCAGCACGTTAAATCAATACCATTTATTCTATTATTTTCTCCTAATATTCAATCACAGTCATTAAAAAAGATCATGTTTATTTCATATACCTAACTTCTTATAAAATTGTGTACACGCAATTTCATGTATACAAGCCATTTATTCACATCGTGCAAATGTTCATTGTAATTTTAATAATATTATTATACAAAGTGATTACATTATGAATTTATAAAAATCAATTTTACATTATTCTAATTTTGTCATATACGAACGGCTATACACCATATACAAGTGAAAGAATAAAATAAACGAGAATAGATATGGTTGACCATGTCAACTCTGTGATACCCGTACGAATAAATGATTTTAAAAATTGATATACAAGTGAGTTTCATACAAACTCTTACTTTTATACATGTAATACTACGGAAACTACAGTAGTTACCACACAAACCCATACAATCTAAAAGAGTTTTACTGAAAATGATGGTCACATCACCGATTTCGTTAGTTTAAAAATTTCAGCTTTGTAGTTTCAATAGTTTCTGAGTTATGATCAAACAACTGAGTTTTATGGAATCTACCACAAGTAGTCGAGAAATTTCAACGGCATTTATCGAACATAAGAGGGCTAATACTTGTTTTTAAAACTATACTCTGAATAATATCTGAGGTACCAGAAAGAGCCAACCAATTTTAATGACTTTTATCAAAAACAATCGTAGCTACCTGATTATACCCAATTTAAATAGGATTGTAGCATTTACTATAAAAAATCATTTGTAAAAATTTGGTCAGGTTATTTCAAATATTTTTTGAGTCACTGAGACGGACGGACACACATGGTTAAATCGGCCCAAAACTCGACATTGGTTAAAAACATATATTTGAGTCTATATCCCAGACTATTATTTACATTACCGTGTTTACAAACGGTAAGGCAAATTTAGTATAGCCTCCGAGCATACGATGGTACGGGTATAAAATTATTAAAAAAAAAGCAAAAATAAAATTTTCTATTGAATTTTCACGGTATTTTTATTTATTAGTTATTACACATTTTATTTTTTGTAAAACATTGTCACATAAAAATTTAATTCACTTACGTATAAACGATATTACGAAATATCGTAATTGAAATTCAGATTGTGTTTAAACAGAAAATCATTTAAATGAACAAGAAATTGTCAAAATTCAATTCAATTCAAGAAGTTATACACTGCGTACATAACTTATAAATGATTTAATGATAGGAAATTTTTCAATACTCGTATTAGTAATTGCGGGAGGGAAGCGAAGAGGACCACAGCCCGATGACGAGTTTATGGTTTGCTTATATTAATAAAAAAAAAAATAAGAAAAGAATTTTTTAATTTTTTTTTTCAATTTTGTTTTCTTTTGAAATATTATAAAAATAATAATGATAATATTTTTAACATGTATATTTAAAAAAAAAAAAAAACTATCATAAATTTATGTTTAGTGCACGATACTTTGGACATGATGACAAGTTCATGACACTTAATTAATTCGAGGTGTGAATAATGTTAGTTTTGTTTTCTTTTTCTGTTCTTTAACATTCGGCATTTTATTTTCGTTCTTTCTTCCATTATTATTTTTATTGTTATTCTTGTGTATACTTTCGATTCATTTTATTTTTGGATCTTTAATGTAGTGTTATTTGAAAGTGTCTTCAGTATGGTATAATTGTGGTGCGTCTTTTCATGCAAAAAGAAATAATCTGTTCTGGGGACAGCACATAATCGGCCGCGATGTGTATTTCTCGAACAATAATATTCCTAGAATAATATAGAAATCCTTATTTAAACTATTCTTAAACGCCAAACGATAAGGTTGCATGGAATTGTGAAAGTGTGCTGTGAACTCTTATTTCAAGTTCAATGAAAGCTAGTAACATATTGGTTAATATAACTAGATAAATGTAAATTTGGATTTTAGAAGAGTTTCATTTTTTGTATTATCCATTATTATATCAGTTGCAATATTATGGTATTAAATTTTAAACAAAAAAATTTGATTTTCTTTTATGACTATATGAAGGCAAATAATATATAAATTCAGCCCGTTGCATAATCAGTTGCTGGCAACAGATTTCTTTGAAGAGGTAGAGTGTTCATCATATTGTAACAAGAAGGTTACAATAGGCACATAATATTTAAAAAAATATTCCTCAATTATTATATTAAAAATAGTCAAAATTTTAGAATATTCCCATTGTAAAAGTCGAGTTCTTGAAACGCTACATAGTCCACAACTTAATCAATTTGTCGCACAACCAAAAACTAAGCTCATTTAATATAAATTTTTAATTCAAATCGATTCAGTCGAAATCGAAATATACGAGTCCACACGAATATACCGTAATTTAGCACGGAAAAATGAATTTCTGCCGAAAAGACGAATTACAAAATTTGGTGCCATCACATAACCTCCCTTATTGTACGCAATGCGGTCGGTACAAAAAAGGAGAAGAATAAGAAAAATAAATTCTCTTAAATTTTATTTTCTTGATTATTATCACCAATAAATATTAAGAAATCGAAAAAAAAAAATATTTTTGATATTTTTAAATTAAATGTTTTTTTTTTATACGAAGGGCGGGTTGAAAATATTTTTTATAGCAAATTAAAATGTTTTAATTTGCAAAAATTGTGAATTTTAAGCGTATGCTTTGTCACTTCCGAAACGGATTAGAGATGAAAAGTTTTGGGTTGTTATTAGGATACGGGATTGTTCAAAGTCAAGAAACACAAATGCACAGTGAGTCAAGAAACACAAATGCAAATGCAAATTATAAATTTCATGTTTGACCTTCAATTCTGAAATGCAAATCTTAAAGTTAGTCAACCCGTTAAGGGATTTATCTCTTTTAGGCCTCAGTA